ACACACACACACACACACACACACATAAACACACCCTCCAGAACAGCCCCGTCAACATCGGTCAAGGCTAGCCGAACAGAATTAGCTGACTCGGTTTTATGATCAAATATGTTGGGGACCTCTCAGGAAGCTGCGTGCCAAGTTCAGTCGTGCATGCGTTGAATGGTGTGTGTGTATGTGTGTGTATGTGTGTAGGTGTGTCCGCTCCATTAGCCGGCTCTCCTCCTGGCCACCATATGCAGAGCTGGGAGCCCAGGCTGGCTCCATCTGTCGGGTTAATGCCCAGCCTCGGCCCCAAGCAGCTGGCCCCTACAAGCCTCATTATTCAACACGCAACAAACACACACACACACTCACACACACACACACACACACACACAAGCAGTGAGAGACGGACACACTTGACGGAGCTCTGGTCTATCACACAATGAAGTCTCCAGAGCTTAGGGGAAAGGTGTTTTTCCGAAATTCATTTTGGCTGTGTGAACTGGTGTGAGATGAACGTTGCCTACATGCATTCATTATTCTCAATGGTCAGGCGGGCAATTGGGCAAGACACCCATCAAGAGCCAGAAGAGGAGAGGAGGAGGCGTGGATGAGAGATAGAGAGAGAGAGAGAGAGAGAGAGAGAGAGAGAGAGAGAGAGAGAGAGAGTATGCTGAAATGAAAAAGGCAAGTTTCATAAACTTGCAAAATGTGCAGAATAAATTACACAAAAAAAAGATCAAAGGAGCAGTGAGCAGAGTGGGGGGGAATGTGAGAAGACAAGATGTCAGGAGGAGGGAGGGCAGATACGTTTACAGGTTGAGAGGTGACCACCCAAACACTTCTCTTTGTCTCGATAAATACGCATCTGAGCTGCACTCAGGAACCACAGGGGAGCCCACGAAGGTTTAAAAGAGCGTCTGTGTGTGTGGTGGCCCGGGAGGGAGGATTTTTTTTTTTCCGGATTACTTACCTATTAAGCTGTGAGCTTCCACTTGAAACTCAACAGGGAGGCGACGGTCAGCGGAACACGCAAACTATTTTAAAAACGAGTGCAGACGTTAGTCGGGGCCAAATTATACATCTCTGTTGAGCAGCTGTGTGTGTGTGTGTGTGTGTGTGTGTGTGTGTGAGGCGCAGATTCCTAAAGGTTAGGGAGTGATTTATAGTTTGGTGTAGGATTCATGGCTGTGTCACGCATTCATTACATTATAATCGTGTGTATTTGGGTTGGGGTTTTTTTCTCACACCGAGGCGCTCAGGCTTGACAAAACGCACCTGGTGGCAGTGCTTCAGATCTAATTACAGCTCATATATATATATATATATATATATATGCTCAGTTCCATTAAAGCTAAGGCATGTTTGAAATAAAAAAATAAAACATTAACACAAGGTCAGAATTAAAACAGAATAAAAACACAATCCCGGTGCTATCGGGTGTCAGTACCCATCCCTAGTGGGCTGGTTTACTACTGTGATACGAGCCCAGATTTTGCTGTGATTTAATTGCGATAAACAGATAAAAAGGACGCCGAAATAACTGTATAATCATGCCGATTTGTAAAAAGTCTGAATTCATGCTTTGTCAACTTTTAAATTGCTTGTTTTCTCAATGGCGTTTGGATCACTCGGTGCTAAGCTATGCTAACATCGTAGCTGCTCCATCAACACTCAAAATAACGTCACCTAGGCATAAATATGGCAGCAGCAGCGTTACTGTTCATAGTAACTACAGAGCGCCAGTCTATAGTTACTATACATTCATTCATACAGAGTAAGCGTTTGGTCTAGGTACTATCTGCGAGCTTTTGTTGACCACAGATTCCTGCAACACTTTTTTCACTTCATTTCTGATTCAACAACATCAGGACGTCAGGAGGAGAATCTCATCGCTGATACACAGCATCACCCCCAAACGACGAAGTTCTCAGCGCTTCCAAAAAGACACCTGCGGTGTTGGTGCCCAACTCATAAAACACATGGGATATAAATCAGCCTTCGCTCCCACCCCACCAACAGACTACAACCGTGAACTCAGTGAGAAAAAGAAATATTCATCACAGCGAAGCCACCCGACTCCGCTGACGACGGCAGACTGTGATAATTCTCACCTTGGACAGGCCTCCTACGTCCAGGTAGAAGCAGATGATGAAGACGTTCCAGGCCACCCACAGAGCGGCCCATACCGTGTACTGTAGGGCAAACAGACACAGACGGATTAGCTCCATGGAAACTAGATGAAGTGACCAGAACAGGACGTGACAGCCACTGAATAAAAGAGACTGAGATGAATGAGCTCCTAGACAGAGTCAAGTCAGTGTCCTCTAACACACACATAGTCTCACATACATACACCACACACGCAATGAAGTTATTATTATTTTTAAAAGGTACCAGTAAGTTCAGCAGGTTTATTTGAGCCCCGAGGGAGCTGAGTGGAGTTCACCATCGTTTATAAAATTGTACAGTCAGACAGTCGACTGTTGACAGACACACAGAGACGCATTATTGTAAAAGATTGTGAAATCCTGACTCACGATGAATCGTGTTTTTAAAATGTCAGGGGTGTCAAGAGGAAGCGCAGCACCTGCATGAAAAACATACATGTTGGATCATGAAACACCCTCAGCTGGCTTTCTCCGTCTCTTCCTCGTTTATCTCCCCTGTCTGTCTTTATTTACCCTCAGAATCTCTTACTCTGCTCTTTTTTTTCTGTCATTAAAATCACCATCTGTGCTTCCACTGATGCTGCTGAAAAATCGGCTTTTTATGCCGAACGTTATGGTTTAAAATAAAAACCAAAGTGCGTAAAAATCTACGAAGCTTCACAGTGGTTCTAAACCAAACGGGTGAAACAACAGGCGGTATATGTTTTGCACCGTGTCTCAAAGAATGACCTTCTCTGTCCAGAAACTCGACGCAAAGTATAAATCTGATGAGCTTCTTAGCACCCCCCACCCCCCAACACAGCCACCCCCTTTAATTAGCCCTAATTACCACGGGATTAGAGTGATTTAATGGTGTCGCAAAATGCACAAGAGAGAGCAGCACACTTTGCAATTAAAGAGGAAAGGCAACACAGCAAAGATACGTGACACTGCTGAACAAGAAAAAAGAAAAACGTGAGGAACAAGGATTATGTGACAGAGCCTCACCACCACGATGTAGCGCGGCCGGTACTGGATGGTGCCAAAGAGGCCGAGGATGACCATGATGATGTGGAAGAAGTTGGCGAGGATCGGGGCCCACTGGTAACCCAGGAAGTCAAAGACCTGTCTCTCTAAAGCCAACACCTAAAAGGGAGGGAGAAAATAAACAAGACAAATGTTACCGGGCTGACAAACAGGCCTAGAAAATAAAGTGGCGGCCTACATACACATGTGTACCGCTCGTAGTCTATTGAGGACAATAAACTATTTACCTCGTGGCTATTGGCCAACAATCCGGACGTGAACAGTCTGAGTGTTCGGCCTCCGACTGTGGGAGCGTCGGAGGTGAAGACGGCAAGTTTTTGTAAAAAAAAACAAAAAAACGCAATGACAGATTTATCGATTCAACCCCTGCTGAGCTAAAGAGGAGCTCACTGTTTTTCCGACCTTCCTGCCAACGGCTTGCAGGAACGAGAACGCTCTGGGAACTTTATGGGAGGCTTAATAATACCACTGCAGCCAGCTTAGGCGCTTATTGAAATATGTGCTCGCAAACAACGTGCATACATGGAGAAGCAAAGTTAAAGCCCCCCCCCCCCCCCCCCCCGACAATGAAAAGAAAATTCCTCAGTTTTCCCGGTACAGGCTTCAACATTTCCTCTCATTGATCCAGGATCCCTTCCTCTACCTGAGCTCTTTGTCTGCAACATTTTGAGCAACAGCAGAAAAAACAACAACAAAGCAATTAGAAGCTGTCCCTATTTGCATCAACTCAATTAGCATGCCATTTTTTACAGGGGGTACAAGGTGGCACAGTACTATATAATTAGAATTCCATCTCCAATCCAATTCCATTCCCAGTGTGTGTGTGTGTGTGTGTGTGTGTG